GCTAGCCACTGTTTCCTGTCGCAGCTGGTGAGAGATCTGGGGAGGCAGTATGAAGGTGGGTGTCACGTTGGGGAGCCAAACGAAGGTTTGGACCCAAAGATGCAGAGAACCAGATGACGCTGAGTGGAGCAATAAAGTAAAAATCCTTTTATTAATGTGGCAGTGTGAGCGTCCTGTCACAGTGTCCCGACTGATCATGCGCCTTGGTTACTTGGCCAAGAGGATGTCCCTTTGGCTGGCTGGTAAGCGCGCATGACTCTCACCCGGGAGTATGGGGATCGAATCCCACCCGGGCCCTCGTTTCTCCACCTTGCCACATTTGATTTTGTCGGCAGGATCCATGTAGTACTGTCAAGTAGGTCCATGGATGTGAAGTTTGTTGCACCCTGCGCGGGAGCACGAGGACGTGCTTGTGGAAAAAGAGGGGGGAAGATGTGGCAGTGTGAGCGTCCTGTCACAGTGTCCTGACTGATCATGCGCCCTGGGTTCTTGGCCAAGGGGATGTCCCTTTGGCTGACTGATAAGCGCGCATGACTCTCAAATCCCGCCCGGGCCCTCATTTCTCCACCTTGCCACATTAATAATAAGTCCAAAAAGGCAGGGAGCCAAAACACAAAAATCAAAGTCCCCAAATAACAAAACCTAGAATCCAAAAGCGAAGATCCAAATCTAGAGGGGAGAACAAGAGAAAGGTGACAACAGACAATGACCCAACAACAGACAGAGACACAGACAGGATCATATACACTGGGGCATGATGGGAGACAGATAGGCTGCAGGTGTGTGGGGAGAGAAACCAAGTGAAAGCAATTAACTAATCAGGGTGGAAACTAACATGACCTACGAGTAAAAACCTAAAGACAAGAAAAGCCAGCAAAAGTAACTAATATTCCAAGGGGAAGGAAAACTACAAAAACCTGTGGGAAAACATGCCAAAGAGACTAATAAAATGAAAAGCTGAACCTATAAAAAACTGCAGAGGGGTGACTGGGGGAGACCAAAGGAACACAGGACCTGAGAGGGATAATCTGGAGGGCTGAAGACCAGGGGACACATGACGAACACAAAGAGACACATAAGGGGATTCTTAGAGGGGAATGGAGCACACAAGGAGATACATGAGGGAGACGCAGATGCAGACCATGACAGTGGGCCAGGAGATCACAGGTCACGTTGGTTGTGACATGTCACCACTGCCTTTCTCATTACCAAATGTGTACATTTAGAAACAATAACTTACATTCTTGTTTCTGCAGAAGCTAAACAACAACAAGGATCTGGTGAGTCCAGCTCCTCTGCCTGTCCCCTCTATCCAAACAGCCTCTTGTTACCTGTGCAGGTGATATCAACAGTCATCAGAGAGGGGAGGAGCTTCAGCGCCAGTGCAGTGCTACAAGCCCCATCAATACCAACTAAAGCAGTAGTACCCAAAAAAGTCCCCCAAACTGTGGCCAAGGAGGAATGCTTATGTGACGCCACTCAATGGACCGGCCACTTTGTACGGCGAATGGCCTTTGGTGGGGTCCGATCCACTGGTGGAGTTCAGTAAACTCCATTATCATTATGGTCAGGAAGTAAAGAAAGCAAGAGATGAATGGCTGAGGAGTCGGCAACCACAGGAGGACAACAGTGATCGAGATCTAATTGACTTGGAGTGATGGGGAGATAACCTAAAGATGTGTAAGGGAACTGAGACTGAACTGTTGTTAGTTACTCATCTGTGTATTCATGGAGTTTGAGTCCTCGACATTGTTTAAAATCTTTGTGTTTTGTACTCAAGCATGAAGAAGGGTTGCTCCCTCTTTTCTTTTAGCCAGATGTCTTATTAACCACCAGGCATTGCATCTGAAGTTCTTTACTGCATGTACATCTTCACCTATAAGATTTCAAGTAATCCAATTCAAAAAGTGAGACAAAGAATGGTTCAGAAGATCTTTCATGGACGTTTAAACAACGTGTCGGAGCACCCGGCCCAGAGGGTTACCGGGGTCCCACCCTGGAGCCAGGCCTGGGGTTGGGGCCCGTGAACAAGCGCCCGGTGGCCGGGCTTTCGCCCATGGGGCCTGGCCAGGCCCAGCCCGAACCGGATACATGGGCTCATCCAAATGTGGACCCACCACCCGCAGGAGGAACATGAAAGGTCCGGTGCAGTGTGGATCGGGTGGCAGACCGAGGCGGAAGCCGTGGCTGTCCGATCCCCGGACAAGGAAACTGGTTACTGGGACATGGAACGTCACCTCGCTGGCGGGGAAGGAGCAGGAGCTTGTGGCAGAGGTTGAGCGGTACCGGCTAGATATAGTCGGGCTCACCTCGACACATAGCATTGGCTCTGGAACCCAAGTCCTTGAGAGGGGTTGGACACTCTCCTTTGCTGGAGTTGCTCCGGGTGAGAGGCGGAAGGCTGGGGTTGGCTTTTTGTGATCCCCAAGACTCTCTGCCTGTGTGTTGGGGTTTACCCCGGGGGACGAGAGGGTAGCTTCCCTGCGCCTTTGGGTCGGGGAACGGGTCCTGACTGTTGTTTTTGCTTATGTGCCAAATATCAGTTCAGATTACCCACCCTTTTTGGAGACCCTGGGACGAGTGTTTGATAGTGCTCCATCAGGGGACTCCATTGTCCTGCTGGGGGACTTCAATGCTCATGTGGGCAATGACAGCATGACCTGGAGGGGTGTGATTGGGAGGAAAGGCCCGCCTGATCTGAACTTTAGTGGCGTTTCATTATTGGACTTCTGTGCGAGCCGCAGTTTGGCCATAACGAACACCATGTTCGAACATAAGTGTGGCAAGATAGAGAAATGAGGGACACTCACACTGCCACATGAGGCTGCCCATCGGTACACTTGGCAGCCTAGGTTGCAGGTCAATGATAGACTTTGTAGTCATGTCATCTGACCTGCGGCAGTTTGTTTTGGGCACCCGAGTGAAGAGAGGAGCGGAGCTGTCAACTGATCACCACCTGGTGGTGAGTTGGGGAAGATGCTGCGTAGACCTGGCAGACCCAAACACATAGTGAGGGTCTGCTGGGAACGCTTGGCAGAAGAAACGGTCAAGAGGGTCTTTAACTCCCACCTCCGGCAGAGCTTTGACCACTCCCCGAGAGCAGTGGGGGACATCGACTCCGAGTGGTCCTTGTTCCACTCTGCAATTATTGAGGTGGCTATTGCTAGCTGTGGTCGCAAGGTGGCTGGTGCCAGTCATGGTGGCAACCCCCGTACCCGCTGGTGGACACCAGAGGTTCGGGGAGCCGTCAGGCTGAAGAAGGAGGCCTACAGGGCGTGGCTGGTTTGTGGGTCTCCGGAGGTAGCAGACAGGTACCGGATATTCAAGCGGGATGCAGCAGTGGCAGTTGCCGAGGCAAATCTCTGGCATGGGAGGAGTTTGGTGAGGCCATGGAGAAAGACTATCGATTGCAACCAAAGAGGTTGTGGCAAACATATCCGGCGCCTCAGGGGAGGGAGGCAGCAACTCTCTCACACTGTTTACAGTAGGGATGGGGAGCTGTTGATGTCAACTGGGGCTATAGTCGGGCGGTTGAAGGAATACTTTGAGGAGCTCCTCAATCCCACCTACGCGCATTCCAAGGAGGAGCCAGAGCCGGGAAACCTGGGGATGGACTGTCCAATCTCTGGGGCAGAAGTTGCTGAGGTAGTCAAACAACTACACAGCAGTGGAGCCCCAGGGGTGGATGAGATTTGTCCTGGGTATCTCAAGGCTATGGATGTGGTAGGGCTGTCATGGTTGACACGTCTCTGCAACATTGCGTGGTCATCGGGGGCAGTTCCTGTGGAGTGGAAGACCGGGGTGGTGGTCCCCATCTTTAAGAAGGGTAACCGGAGGGTGTGTTCCGACTAGAGGGGGATCACACTCCTCAGCCTCCCTGGAAAGGTCTACTCCAAGGTACTGGAGAGGAGGGTCCGGTCGATAGTTGAATCTCAGATTGAGGAGGAGCAATGTGGTTTTCGTCCTGGACGTGGAACTGTGGACCAGCTCCATATCCTTGCAAGGGTGATGGAGGGGGCATGGGAGTTTGCCCAACCAATCCACATGTGTTTTGTGGATTTGGAGAAGGCTTATGACCGTGTTCCCAGGGGCACCCTGTGGGGGACGCTCAAGGAGTATGGGGTGGGTGGCCTTTTGTTAAGGGCCATTCAGTCCCTTTACCAGAGGAGCTTGAGTTTGGTCCACATAGCCGGTAGTAAGTAGGACCTGTTCCTGGTGAGGGTTGCACTCCACCAGGGCTGCCCTTTGTCACCGGTTCTGTTCATTACCTTTATGGACAGAATTTCGAGGTGCAGCCGTGGTGTGGAGTGTGTTGAGTTTGGTGGCAGGAGAATCTCATCTCTGCCTTTTGCGGATGATGTGGTCCTCCTAGCTTCATCCAGCTCTGATCTTCAGCTCTTGCTGGGTAGGTTCGCGGCCAAGTGGGAAGCGACTGGGATGAGGATCAGCACCTCCAAATCTGAGACCATGGTTCTTGACTGGGAAAGGATTTCTTGCCAACTCCGGTTCGGGAGAGAGGTCCTACCTCAAGTGGAGGAGTTTAAGTATCTCGGGGTCTTGTTCACGAGTGAGGGTAGGAGGGATCGGGAGATCGACAGGCAGATTGGTTCGGTGTCTGCAGTGTTGCGGATGCTGAGCCAATCTGTCACGGTGAAGAGGGAGCTGAGCCAGAAAGCCAGGCTCTCCATTTACCGGTCAATCTACGTCCCAATCCTCACCTCTGGTCATGAGCTTTGAGTAATGACCAAAAGAACGAGATCGCGAATACAAGCAGCTGAAATGAGTTTCCTCCATAGGGTGGCCGGGCTCAGCCTTAGAGATAGGGTGAGGAGTATGGACATTCGGGAGGGACTCGGAGTAGAACCTCTGCTCCTCCGGATCGAAAGAAGTCAGTTGAGGTGGTTTGGGCATCTGGTCAGGATGCCTCCTGGATGTCTCCCTGGGGAGGTGTTTCGGGCATGTCCTGCCGGCAGGAGGCCCCCGGGTCGACCCAGGACACGTTGGAGAGGTTACATCTCCAATCTGGTCCGGGAACGCCTTGGGGTCCTGCCGGAGGAGCTGGTGGAGCTGGCCGGGGAGAGGACGGTCTGGAGCTCCCTAGTTGGGATGCTGTCCCCGCGACCTGGACCCGGATAAGCGGAGGAAGACGAATGCCAATTCAAAATCCCACCAAATCATCACACGAACCGGCTCTAATTTGGTCACTCTTATACAGTGGGGAGAGCAATCAGCATTTTTATCAGTAGGGCCTTTTCTATTGACAAAAACTTTCCACCACATGTCAGTGTCACCTCAAGTATTTAATTCATGCAAAAACATCTAAATGTTTCAGTTCATAAATTGAGTTATTTGTAATAAAGTAAAAAAAAATAATAAGGAAAAGGTGCTTGAGGAAAACAAGGTGCAAACTGGTAAAGAAAGCCAGGAGATCACATGAAACCTGTCAGTATTGATATCAGCTGCTTTAGTCCTAATTGATGGCCTATAAAGGCATCTCATGACCCAGGAGGCACACAGAAAAGACTTCACGATGGGTAAAAGCAAAGAACTCTCCAAGAGCTTTCTTATTAAAAACATTCTGATGGGAATGGTTTTGTGCTTTTCCATAATGCTGAATGTTCCTGTGAGCACTCCAAAAATGGAAAGAGCATCAGTTCTCCATAAACCAGCCATGATCAGGTGCTCCACATAATATTCCTGTTCAAGGAGTCCAAAGAATAATCAGAGTTCTCCAAGAGCCAAAAACGACTCATGCAGAACTCCAGGAAGACCTTGCATCAGCAGATACTGTTGTTTCAAAGAAAATTATAAGCAATGTACTGAACCACCATGGCATCCATGCATGCTTACCACGCAAAATTCCATTGGTGAACAAAAAGCATGTTGAGGCCTGGTCAAAGTTTGCAAAGCAGCATTTGAAGAAGCCTGTGGCATACTGAGAGATTATAGTATGGTCAGACGAAACCAACATTAAAGTTAGAATCCGAAACATTTTATGTTTATGTTTATTTTTATGTTTATGTATTTAGCAGATGCTTTTGTCCAAAGCAACTTACAAGTGATAATCGGCATGTTGCCCTTGAGGCTAACAACAACAATAACAACAACAACTTCACATCAATCATGGAGAGGAGGGAACAAGGAGTGGACAGTAGAGAGGGGGACGGATGCAGGGAGGGTGCTAGTTTAGAAGATGCTCTCTGAAGAGCAGGGTCTTCAGGAGTTTCTTGAAAATTGAAAAGGAAGCCCCTGTTCTGGTAGTGCTTGGTAGGTCATTCCACATTTGTGGAACGATGCATGAGAAGAGTCTGGAATGTCCTGAGCGTGGTGTAAGCACTGCTAGCCGACGATCCTGTGATGACCAGAGCGGCCGGGCCCAGACGTAAGCCTTTGCAAGAGGATTCAGGTAGATAGGAGCCGTACCATCTCGGACTTTGTATACTAGTGTTAGCAATTTGAATTTGATGCGTGCTGCTAGCGGTAGCCGTGGAGATCAATGAACAGAGGGGTGGTGTGTGCTCTTTTTGGCTGATTGAGGACCAGATGCGCCGCTGCGTTCTGGACCATTTGAAGAGGTCTCACAGTACAGGCTGGAAGACCAGTTAAAAGGGCATTGCAGTAATCGAGGCGGGAGATGACAGTAGATTGCACCAGGAGC